CTGAACATCTGGGAACAGCTGCTTGGCTGCCTCCTACACGCCCCCTATTGGGGATCGAGCCTTCAATGCAGGCATCTGCCCTGACTGGGAATGGAACGGTGACCTCCTGGTTCACAAGTCGATGCTCAACCACTGAGCCAAATCAGTCAGGCATGACCAGCATTTTTTCAATTCTGATTGTGACTTATGTGCTGCTGCCCCTTTGGCCAAAGCATGACCAAGCCCTTGGTAAACTACCAAAAGGCTTGAATTCAGAAAGGAACATTAAAGCCATTTTTTAAAAAAAATCTGTCATGCATAGTTTGGTAAAACTCTAATATTGAGTTTTTCCAAACTATACATGAAACTAAGTAGTGAGCCTGCAGTTTGGTCTCCATTTTCCAATTTATCCAATCAATAATTATTGCTTACTGCATGACAGGGAGTATTGTAGATGCTAGTGAAAAACCAATGAACGAAGCAGATGCTCCCCAACTCTTGGAGTTTATTTTCTACTACAAGTAGACTCAGAATCGATGGGTCAATCAGCAAACAATAAAAAAGAAACAGAATTTCAAAGCAGACTGCTTAAAAAGATTCTTGTGGTAGAAAGTGACTGTGTAGATACCTAAGATTTGTATCAGAGATGGTGTCTCATATAGACCTAGGCTGTAAGATAATTAGAGGCCAATCTTGAAGAGCTTTGGAGAAAAAGCATTCTAGACAGAACCAACAGAAATTCAAAGATCTGGAGGGGGACCTGATGCTGAAGTGTTATAGATAAGGCCACGGGGCGGGAATTGTAGGTGAAAAAGTTGAATTTTTATATATAGCCTTTGTGTTGAGTAATTATTCTTTGTTTCATGCTAAGTGAGTTAGAAAACCTTTGGAGAAGAAATGACAGAATTTTGTTTATATTTCAATGCCTCTGTTACCAATGCACCCTGAGTAGAGAGGGATATGCATTTTAGGATGGATTTCAGGATGCAGCGTTCCCCCTCTTGCAATTGTCCAGAACCCCTTCTCCATTGCCCATCTGATTAAATCAGCTTTAGCTGCCCCTGCTTGTCTGCCCACAATGAGATGCTCTTTCTCAGGGTCCTGCCACCTTTTCATTGTCTGATGTGATGGAGAGGCCAGTGCTCTGCCTCTCATGGATTCTGGTGAGTCTCTCCCCATCCACCGCCACACCCTGTTTCGCTGGTAGCATCGTATGCCCAGTACTGTGCTAAGAGACAGGACCTATGCCCTCAAGGATTTACAGTCTAGTATGGGATTTAGACCTACACATACACAAGAAAAATAGACTGCAAGGAACAAAATGAACAGGCTCTTTTAAAAAATGCAATAGAAAGTCATAGAAGAATGCACTTAATTTTTCTTGGTTGTGGTGAATGAATCTTGGTTCAAGGAATGCTCAAGGTACGGAGTGGGAAAACTCAGCATTTCTTTGAGAAACAGATGCAGAATAGTGTAAAAAGGCAGATGGGACCCAGATTCTCATATCAGGTGCGATACTGAGGTGCTCAAACAGAATTTTCTTTGCGTGTCCTTCCAGGTGAAGTACAATAGATTTGGAGGCAGTGGAAACAGTCCTATTACTGCAATGGTTCAGACAAAAGGGAACAGAGTTCTGAAGTAGGATGGTGGCAAGTGTAATAATGGTGGAGAGTTGGGAGGAAGAATGAAGTAAGAAAAAAAGGGAACGGGACTTTAAAAGCTCAAGCAATACTGTGGAGTTATTGATGCCACTAAGAGAGGCAGATGAGAAAAAATGGGGGGAGGGGTGTTTGTGGAGAAAGATGAGGGATTGAATTATAATGAGTCCATTCACAGAAGCTTATTCCTTGAAATATTTGAGGAAGTCTAAATCTGACCCCATAAAACTAGTGGCACCATGATTATGTGCCTTGAGCCATGAATTCTTACAGAGCTCTCCACAGATAATAAATGTCAAGACTAGAAGTCTCCATCCCATGTCCTCAAGGAGGTAAGAAGAATGTTCCACAGGGAGTGCTCAATGCTGCAACATGACAGAGATGAAAGCACCTGGAACATTCCAAATGCGTGACATGGGAAAACCACTTGCATTGCCTTGCGGACATTTCTTTATGCCTGGAGGAAAAATTTCCACAGGTTCTGTTTATATTCTCAGTTTCCTCTTAAACAGTGCTACTGTGAGGGTCGCCAAAGGAGGAATGCATGAGACCGAAAAGGGTAAATTATTATGAATTTATTTGAGGCTGAGCCTCAAAATGGTGCCAGCACCCAGAGATGGGAAGTCGTATTTTAAAGGACTCTAGGCGGAGAAGTATCCGGACTGGAGGGGAAGGATAATGGTCTTAGCAAGTGGGATGTGGTCTACCTGAAAGGGACTGTTCCTTGTGAAGTGGCCTAAAGGTCTCCCAGGGCAGGGGGCATTGATTCAATTGTTTGATCAGACCTAACATAGTCTAGCCTTTGTGTTTTATGGAATAGGGATGAAGGCCATGTCTTCCATAGTTACTTACTGCTGAGGGGGACGCGAGATCATAGAGGGATGGACTTTGGAGTCGCTGGGACACTGTACAGATTTCTTAAGGTTGGAGGGAGGGGTTGCACCAGCATGACTTCCCCAAGAGACTGGTTGGTGAGGCTTGAAAGTGGTCCTATTGAGTGACTTTGGAGGTAAAAGCTGGTCCTGAGGCTGCCACAGTGTCACTTGTCCAGTTTCTTGCTGCTTTTCTGGGCCTGGAGCTGAAATACAACGGAGACCTAGATGTTATCTTTAGGGAGGAAAAGAGCAGGGGGCTAACCGTACAATTTCTTGCTGCTTTTCTGGGCCTGGAGCTGAAATACAACGGAGACCTAGATGTTATCTTTAGGGAGGAAAAGAGCAGGGGGCTAACCTGCCTGACTAGTGATAGGAAAGGGGAGGCGAGGTTGTTTTCCCCCTGGCTAGGCACCCAGAGCTTTCTGCCTGGGTGAGTTTCTGTACCTGGTGGTCAGAGGGACCTGGGCACAAAAGGAGGTTGTGATGATGTCTAGGGATGGTTATTTCCTGAGTACAAGCAGGGCTTGTAACCTAGTGGATAAATTTTAGTATTATTGAGGCAAAAGTTAGAACAATAAGAATTATGACAAATGGTCTGATGGGAGAAGAGAGACATTTTTTTGGAGGGTTGTAGTCTAATATACCAAAATGAGGTTTATTCTCTTAGCTTCGCTTGTCCTTGGGAGTGGTCGGCAAATGGCACTAACTAGATTTCTGCTGTCTCCCTGAATAGGGTGGTTTAAGCTATTTACCCTCTGGTTGGGCAGGAAAAATGCAAACCATTTACTCTTAAGTGTCCTCCACTTAGGGAAGATAGGATTTACTAGATGGCTGCAAACTGCTGTTTAACCACCTCAGTTTCCCTATCCTATTTGTCCTGGATTACTGGCCTGTGTCATATAACTTCCTTTTAACATTTCTCTTCACAAACCATTCTACAACTTTCACAAATCTTTCTTCAGAAACCGTACAACTTTCAGAAATAACAAGCTCTAGAAACCACTTTCTTTTTTCTTCAAAATGCATCTCCATGCCTCATGCGCTATTTACCCTCTGGTTGGGCAGGGAAAATGCAAACTATTTACTCTTAAGTGTCCTCCATTTAGGGAAGATAGGATTTACTAGATGGCTGCAAACTGCTTGGCATCTAGATTTTCCATTAACCTCTGCCTCAGTTTCCCTGTGGTCCTGGCTTATGGGCCTGTCTCCTAAGAATTAATGATAATCAAAAAGTAACCCACCAGCATTTCTTAGATTGACATTTATGAACACTCTCACTTTCAAGAAATGTACCAACAAAGCATATGATATTACATTAACAGTTCAAAATCTACTTTATAGATTTTCTTTAAAAAAAGAAAAAGAAGCTAAAATCATGTGAACTTAAACATCTAAGTTTATCATTTAACCCAGAAATGCTCCAAAGCTTTTAAATTACCAATTGGGCACATGAGGCTGGAGAAGAGGGGGAGATGCGGAGCAGGCCCACAGCCTCTATTAGGACTACAGTTTCCAGGCCTCCAGCTGCTTGCATTTAAAACTGACACATTTTTCCTTCGAGATAACATGCTAAGGTTTGGGGATAATGACTTCTGCTTCTGAGAGTAGCAGGACGTTAAATAAACGTTTGCAGTTTTGCTGTAAAGAAAGTTTTCTTTGGGAAAGGGGTGTGTGTCTAGTAAGATGCAGTGTCGATGTGAGGTGGCTAATGGCTGTGAGACTAATCCATCAATCCCAGTAAGAGAGACTGAGGAGGGCAGAATAAGTGGCCCCAGTGTCATTTCAAAAGGAGATCAGCTTACCTGCCACCACAATTGTTGCTTGAGGCTCTGTTTTGATGACCTAAGTCTGTGGGGTCTTGTCAGGGCCTGCGCAGCTTCTTCAGTGGCCAGTCCCAGAGGCCTGGGCGCTCCGAACTGGATCCAGAGGGTGGCTTGCTGGACTGGCTGAGGTCCGACTGGGAGGGGCTAGACTCCAGGTGATTTCAAGTGGCCTACCCTTTCACACCTCGGGCGGGGGCCTCGTGTTTGAGCAGGACTTGGCCCAGTGTTCTTCCTTGTTGCCTTTGAAGATGGGCCCAGAGGAGGCTTTGCCCCTAGCTTACGTTGGCTGGAGGACAGGCATTTCATTTGGGGTTCCTGAGCGTGGTGGCTAGGAGCTGAAAGGCCTCCTCCTGGGCCTCAGCCTGATCTCGCCTCTGGGTTGGGGTCTCCTCGTCTCTATTATTAAAGATCTTAAAGGCCAGGTTAATGAAAAATAGACACAGGTCGACAAGTCCCTCAAAAGGACTTCAAAGTTTTTGGCATATGTCGGGGGCTGATTGGGGTATAAAATGGGTGTTTAGAAGGAAGGGTTCTCTCTGGG